TTAAATAAATACAAATGCTGGGAACCAATTCTTTTTTACATTTCTTTAATATTTTGTTCTATTCAGCATCCTCTTTAAACTACTAAGAATTGTGCTATAAATGTGACTTTACCCGATTCTTATGTACACCTTAGTAATTTATTGATATGCCGCACAATGTCCTCCTTTTTGGTGCTATAGAAATGGCCACCCTATGGAGAACTTATTGCTGCTTTCTAACAAACCTGGCAACTATTGCTGCTTCTTCCTGGGTTTTTTGTCGATGGCCTTAATTTTGCTCTGTTTTAAAACTTTAATAAATCAATAGAACAGGAAACTTTCCTGAACTATGGAAAGCATCGTGGCAGAATATAACAGCTCGTTTTCCGTGTTGATCATCGTAGGTGAGTCTGACCGTTTGGCTCCGAGTTCACATTTTAAACTGATTTCACGATGATGAGGATGACTCACTGCCCCCCTCCTCTATGTGTCCCCACCCCCCCATGTGTTTACAGTTGGTCTCTTCCTGGTGGGTTCAGGTTTAACGTGCAGGCCCAGAGAATACACAACCAGTGACGGGCAATGCTGTCCGATGTGTCAGGAAGGTACGAGAACAACAGAGAGGGGGAAACGGGGAGGCCATTTTGTTAACACGAGCGCTGTCGGAAATAAATCGCTCCACCCGTGTTTATCCGTGTTAGTGTGCACCTCTAATGACAAAGACACACGGAGAGGTCGTCTACCAGCTGCACTACCTTAGAACATTGATAATGATAGTATTTTGCTCCCTTTTATGGCTGTAATGTTAACATAGATGCTGTTGCGTTCAGGGTCAGTCGTTTTTTTGGGTGTAGTGTACCTACACCCGAAAAAGTAAAAACTAATGATTATAGTCTCCTTCAGCTGCTGCATTTTTTGCAGCATTTTTATGATGGCTACCATAGACATATATATATATATATATATATATATATATATATATATTTTATTATTATTTTTTTTAAATATGTAATATATGTATGAGATGAGAAGCAAACAGAACAGGTAGCCTTAAGAAATCTGGCACCTTTGCCCTGGAGGACTGATTATTTATTTTTATTTAAGCAAGTCGAATGCTAGCATGATAAACCAGAATAAATGGCAGATGAAAGGTGTAATTTGGTCTGGCCCCGATGAATGAGACATCGGAAGATTGTTGATGAGAACAACCAGTTGTCTTTCAAACCATGTCTGTGCCTATTGGCCAACGCTTTGACCAATTAGACAACTGAATGTGAAGTAGGAAGCGCAACAGGAAGCTGGTGGGGTAGTGTAAACAAACAACCTCGTCACTTCGCAGTCCATCCCAGAAGCACGATCTGTCCTGCGCATGCTCGAACAGTTGGACATCTGGGTGTCCATAAATATTGTAATTATGGTACTAAAATTACTTATTTTTATCCTTAAGCCGGGCGTTGCACGCAGCTACTGCTCACACTGTACGACTAAACCGCAGGGTTTTGTACAACTAAACCGCAGGGTTTAGTCGTACAGTGTGAGTTCACAGCTCACGATTTATTTTCGGCCTGACGCTCTCGTGTTATCTACCTGCTCACAATGTACGACTAAAAACCACGTCGGACTGAGCTCCGCAGAGAGATGGAGCCGTTCTGACTTATCCATCTGGAAGCCAAACAAATAGAAGAGGAATATAAAGCTCACTAGAGTGAAACGCTCTGCCTTGGCAATTTGTGCAATTTTGTGCTTAAAACCCTAAAAAGAAAAGGCGACAAAGTATTTGGGAAAAAAACATGGCTGAGCAAATGTGGCTACTACGGTCTGTCAATTTTACAGAAAGAACTCCATTTCACTCATTGCATCCCTGCCATTCTGCTGTGTTTACATCTGAGAGGAAGAGTAAAAAGAAAAATCCTTCTTTGCGCATGCGCCCTGAGCGATGCCCACGACGGCCGCGAGAAATTGATATTCTCCCAACCTCACGATTCTTGATCGGGAGGTGGTCGTGAGAGGAGGATCGCCCCTCGTAACCCCCTGTACACTACACGACCAGGCTGAAAGTTGGCCCGATCGAAAGATTCTCGGAGGACTTGAAAATCGCCCCGAAAATTGCACAGTGTACGCCCAGCTTTAGAATGCTAATACACATCTTTAAAAAATGTTTTATGAATTTTGTGAGAAAAATTTTTTGCTTTTACATTTTTTCTCGTTAAACTGCTTCTCTGATGTCATCATCAGACATGCTCAGAGCAGTCCAGCAAAATAGGGTTATATTTTAGTTGTTTCTTTCTTACACACTATATAGCATAAGTTTAAAACGGAACAAAAAAATTTAACTCAAAAAGACTAGATTTATGTTTTAATCCAAAGCTGAAAAAGTTAGCCACCAGAAGTAGCCTAGGATCCCATTTCCGGTGTAGATCGGGCAGAGACGAGTGATAAAACAGAAAGGATTTTAAGGCTTTTATTTTCTCAGGAAATACATTATTAACCTTTAACACATCATATTTTAATACGTTTTCTATTTTTGGGGAAGGAAAATGTCATTTAGGTATTTTTAACAAAATAAAATCGAAGACGATGAATATCTGGATGTGCATGCACAAACTACCTGATGGCGCATGTGCAGAACGTATCCTGCCAGGTTAATAAAACCCCGCCCACTTTGCACCCAAAAATTCAAAACACATTTGAAAATCAAGCCTTGTTGTATTGAAAACATTATAGAGTCTGAATTCACTTAATTTGCCAGAAACACAATATTACAGTCCCCCCCCCCAAAAAAAGAACAGATAAAAAGAAAAAAAGAAGGTTTTTGGTGGCAGAAGATTGAGCGTCATGTCTGCTAGCAAGTGTGTTGGTGTTGGGCGTGAACGCAGGGAGGATCCATCACACTCACCTTCTCTCTCACCCTATGATGGGGATGAAGTCTGGAGGAGAACTGACGGTTTCCTCCTGTGAACCCCCTTTATACCAAAACGCTGCCAATACGCCATTATACAGTAGCTGGAAGTTAGAAACATTCAGCGCTCGTCTGGAACACGTCAGATACATTGATATGCGTTGAAAAGAAGTTCTTGATAAGTTACACAGAAGTTTAGGATAAGCTGGAAACCACAACTTATGAGTAACTTACACTTAACGTATGTCAATGATCAGTTACATTACCTGTAACTTATGCCCAACGTATGGCATACGCTGGAATATATCGAGTATGTCTAGCGTATGCCAACATATCCAACGTATGCCTGTGTTTTTGCCAGATTTTTCATACGTCAGACCAAATCGTCAAGGCGTGACAGGGGGTTTAGGTATAAATAAATAATTGTCCTGTTGTAATTTTGTAGGAAAAGTGGTAGGCAAAGACTGCACGGCGGGGTCAGGAACACGCTGCATTCCCTGTGAGACGGGGACCTACATGAACCAACCCAACGGCCTGACCAGGTGTCTCTCCTGCTCCTCCTGTGATTCAGGTACAGAAAGTTTACAAAGAAACTAAAAAACAGGACTTTAACTGCATCTGAAATAATGATAATGAGTGTTTTCATCTTCCAGGCCCTGGACTCTATATCAAGCAGAACTGCACGTCTATATCAGACACAGTTTGTGATGTTTTACACGGATATTTCTGTAAAAGTTGGACAGACAGTGCAGGATGCAGCAAAGCAGAGAAACATTCAGCCTGTAAACCTGGACAGAGAATAAAGCTTCCTGGTGAGACTGAATTCATGAAATTACAGCGATTTAAATGCTGAATAACTGCTGATGTGTTTCTGGGTAAATCTGTTTTTTCAGGGACCAGCAGAGATGATACCGTGTGTGAAAACTGCGAGGAAGGAACCTTTTCTCCAGATGGGTTGAACTGCACACTGTGGACACAGTAAGATAATGACACCTTTCAGGTCTTCCTTTCATTATAACTGGAAGGACTTTGATTGAGGGGGTTGAAGTATGAACTCGTGTCGTCCTCTTGAGAAAAGCACAGGAAAGTCTGGACTCTGGGAGAACGGGAGCACGCAGTATAATTCTGGGTCAATAGGAACAGAAGCGCATTGATGACATCATCATACTATCAGTTCTCACCTCAAATGAGCTTAAAATGTTCTTTTATTGAAGAACAGCAACAGAAAAGAAAACTTTTAATTTAATACTCTGAGCTCTGTGAGCGCTAACCTGGAAGCTGCTGCTGCCGCAGTGCATGCTGGGACAGCTGTCAATCTCAAGAACAGAGAAGTCTGCTCTGATGCATGCTGGGAGGGGCGAGAACAACATCCGGGGACGTTCTCGGTCTGCTGTTCTTGTGAATTGGAGCAGTGCTAGGGCTGAGGATCATGATCTTTCACGAGGACATGAGAACACACAAGCACGCATACTGAGAAACGGCCTGAAGGTGGCAGTGGTTGACTTGAATAAAACGGACAGGTTTTCTCCGAAGGTTTATATCCATCTATTAACTTGATAATTTTAACAGTTGTAATGAAGACATTAATATCTTATGCTTAGAATCTTTGGTTTAATTTTAAATTTAAACAAAATTACAGTTTTCAGGAACCAAACTGTAATTAATTCAGAATTCCTGCATCCTCTGATGGAGGCTGAGGGATCAGCGTAGATCTCCTCAGGCTCCTGATCATGTCTCTGCATCAGGAATCTCAGTCAGACTGTCTTCATAACCATCAGCTGCAGTTGGATAAAGATCATAATAGAATTGGTTTCTATGCAACAGGCTGTTAGCTTCTTTTAGCTCAGACTTCCTTTAAGGCAGAGCATGAATTTGTTGAGAGGCTAAAATGTTTTTCTTTTTTCTTTTGCAGATGCTCTGAACGCCAAACTAAGGTCCAAGAAGGAAGCTCAATGAGTGACGTTGTCTGCAGTAATGGATCAATACGACACAATTATACTTTACTTGCGCCTTTTCTTGGCCTAGCAGTTATAATTGGTTTACTGCTAATCAGAGGTGTGTGATTATTTTTCCTGTTTGATTTTACTAAAAAAACTAATGATGACGTTTTCAACATCTTACCTGATCTCGCAAGGTATACATTTGCACATAGATGCTCTACTAATTACCAGATTTTTCTAACCATTGCATCTTTTTATGTTTGGTGTATCATGGATGAACTTATGATGCCATCCTAGGATGCAAACACAAAGAAAATCTTCAATAAAGGCAGATGAATGATACAAAGTCCAGGAGGTAAGCCAAGACCACCTACAGTTGTACCGCGGTGTCCTTTCAGGAGAACCTGGTGCAGAGAGAATATTTAGACCCTTGAAGGTTTTATTGTTTATTCCCAGAGTCTCCTGAGGAATGAGCTCAACTGGGAACCAGGGACCAAACTAACCCAACAGTGTTCAGACCAAACCAGCCCGGTACCACCATGGTCATTGAAGCAGATTCTGGTCCCTCTCACAGTCTGGACCAACATCTCCCGGAAAATAACATTTTCAGCAGAAGGAAACATGAAGTGATCTAAAATATCCCGGTAAAAGTCTGGTTTACTGTGGACTACAGAAAAGCAAATGGAGCAAAACCAGCAAATGAAGTGAAACCTGAAACATTACTGAATGTGGAAACTTCACCCTGGATTCTGATCCTCTCAGCTATTTAAGCAAAATATAACTGATGAAAGCCTTCGGGTCCTCAGTGACCCAGGACCCTCCCATATAGACCGTCACCACCAGCTTACATCACAAAGTTACACTATTTTATATTTGCTGTGCTGTGCACTTTAGAATCTAACTCTAGTTTTCAATGTTGTGTCTTTGGACAACTTCACCCTTGTTTAGTGGAAAGTGTCTAAGTCTTGTGACTTTGAAAAAACTACGGACTTTAGTTTTAACTAACTCTGTAAGCTCTTATGGTTTCAATGTGTTCCTATGTGCTGTTTATTGCTCTTATATCTGTAAATCTGTTGCAGTTTGCTTCCGATCACTAAACTGTTACACAATTTTTTTTTTTTTTTTGCATTTTTATTGTATGAAGAAATGAATCATTTGTATCAATTTATTTTAGATCTTGTAATATTAAAATTTTAATACATTTCTAATTGTTTTTAAAAAGTTTTGACTCCTTACATCCATAATGTTATATACACACAATCTTGTAGTGGTCTTGTTTTACTTACCATTATCTGACACGCTTGTTCCAATTGGGGCCGCGGGGGGTGCTGGTGCCTATCTCAATGGGCGAGAGGGGGGGTCCACCCTGGACAGGTCACCAGTCCATTGTAGGGCAACAGAGACAAACAGGACAAACAACCATTCACACACACTCACACCTAAAGAGAATTTAGAGAAGCCAATGAACCTAACAGTCATGTTTTAGGACTGTGGGAGGAAGCCAGAGTACCCGGAGAGAACCCACGCATGCTCAGGGAGAACATGCAAACTCCATGCAGAAAGAAAGCAATGCTACCCACTGAGCAGGCCATGTTTGAGGAGTGTTTTCTAAAATATCCCAGATTGTGAGGACTTACAGGTACATAAGGGGACATTCCACTGGTCCCCATATAGTAAAGTTCTCTTTTTGGGTTAGGGTTTAGGACTAAGGTGTGAATTCGGTTTGGGGTAGGGTTAGGTATATGTTGGTAATGTTAGGGTAAGGGTTAGACCATATAAAATTAAGTTAAGTCAATTAACTGTCCCCATATATCGTAAAAACAAAGCTGGGTGTTTGTGCTCTGGTTTTAATACATTGTTGGGCCCGCTGCCTGGACCTCACATTTAGGACTAAGGTGTGAATTGAGTTTAGGTCTGGGTTAGTGTCCAGTATGAACCTGTAACTTTTAGTGTAATGGTCGCGGTTAGGATGTAAAAATTAATGGAAGTCAATAAAAGGCCCCCCAAAGATAATAAGACAAGTTTGTGTGTGTTTATATATGCTGTGCTTTTCGAAAGTATTAATCACCTTGAACTTTTCAACCTTTTGCCACATTTCAGGCTTCAAACATAAAGATATAAAATATAAACTTTTGTGCAGAATCAACAAGTTGGACACAATCATGAAGTGAAACTAAACTTACTGGATACTTTGAACAAAAAAAATAGGTGTGCAAAAGTCTTCAGCCCCCTTGAGTTAATACTTTGTAGCAGCAATTACAGCTGTAGGTTTCTTCGGGTTTGTCTCTATCAGTTTTGCACGTCGAGAGACTGAAATATTTTGCCCCATTCTTCCTGCAAAACAGCTGGAGCTCAATGAGGTTGGATGGAGAGAGTTTGCCAACTGCAGTTTTCAGTTTTTTCCACAGATTCTTGATTAGATTCAGGTCTGGACTTTGACTAGGCCAATCTAAATACTGGATATTTTTATTTGGGAACCATTCAACTGCAGATTTCGCTTTATGTTTTGGATCATTGTCTTGTTGGAAGATAAATCTCCTTTATCCATCTTCCAATCAGTTTTATCATCTTCCCTGTCCCTGTTGAATGAAAGCAGGCCCAAACCATGATACTGCCGCCACCATGTTTGACTATGGGGATGGTGTGTTCAGGGTAATCACCTTTTACGCCAAACATAAAGTTTTACAGTGTTTGTGTCCAAAATGTTTGATATTTGGTATCTGTCCAGAGCATCTTTCTTTAAATGAGATTTTTTATGGATATATTTAGAAATGACTTTCTTCCATAAAAGCAAGATATGTGCAGTACACAACTGACTGTTATCCTATGAACAGAGTCTCCCACCTCAGTTTAGATCTCTGCAGTTGATCCAGAGTCATCCTGGGCCTCTTTGCTGCATCTCTGATCAGTCTTCTTGTTTTAGCTGAAAGTTTAGGAGGGCAGTCAGGTCTTCATAGATTCTCAGTGGTCCGATACTCCTTCCATTTCAATATTATTGCTTGCACAGTGCTCCTTTGGATGCTCAAAGGGAATTCTTTATTTCTATCCAAATCCAACTTTAAACTTCTCCACAACAGTATCTCAGAACTGCCTGATGTGCTCCTTTGTCATCATGATGCTCTCTGGGCTTTAAACAGACCTCTGAGACGCTTACAGAGCAGCAGCATTTATACAGAGACTTGATTACACACAGGTTTCCATGTAGTTTAAGAAGAGAGTCCAGCCTCTCTCAAGGAGCTCGGTTCCAGAGCCCTGGCTGTGCTTAGAGGCCAGCCCAACTATTTCTAGCCGGTATCGCTCCATCTCCCGCACAAGCTCGGGCTCCTTCCC